GAGAGAGAAAGGTCTTCCTTTGCCGTTGGTTCACCCTCCAATGGCCACCGCTGCAGCCGGCGCACTGCGCTGATCCGATGGCAGGAGCCAGGATCCAGGTGCTTTTCCTGGTCTCCCATGGGGTGCAGGGCCCAAGCACCTGGGCCATCCTCCACTGCACTCCCTGGCCATAGCAGAGAGCTGGCCTGGAAGAGGGGCAACCGGGACAGAATCCGGCGCCCCAACCGGGACTAGAACCCGGTGTGCTGGCGCCGCAAGGTGGAGGATTAGCCTATTGAGCCACGGCGCCGGCTCTCTTCCTTTTTTTTTTAAAGATTTATTTATTCATTTATTTGAACATCAGAGTTACACAGGGAGAGAAGGAGAGGCGGAGAGAGGGGTCGGGGGGGGGGGTCTTCCATCCACTCTCCAGTTGGCCACAACGGCTGGAGCTGCATCAATCCAAAGCCAGGAGCCAGGAGCTTCATCCAGGTCTCTCACACAGGTGCAGGGGCCCAAGAACTTGGGAAATCTTCCTTGCTTTCCCAGGCCATAGCAGAGAGCTGGATCGGAAGTGGAGCAGCAGGGACTCGAACCGGTGCCCATATGGTATTCCGGCACTGCAGGCGTCGGCTTTACCCGCTACAGCACAGCGCCAGCCCCTGCCCTTCTTATAGGATATTTATCAGCAGTCCAGGCTTCTACCCACTAGGTAACAGTAGAGTGTGCCCCAGGCTGTGACACCCAAAAATGCCTGCAGCCATTGCTAAATGTTCAACAGGGACAAAAAAGCACCGTGGGTTCAGGACCACTGGGGTTCAGCCAGCCTTGGTGCACTTCCTTACGGTGCGGAGTTCTTCGCCAAGTTACAGAAACACTCGGCCGAGCAGACAGTGTGACTCAGGGCAGAGCTATGACCTGAGTTTTCCAGCTGCCTCTGAAACACCCGTTCTCTAACGGGCAACAGCAACACACCCAAAAACAGAGGCAGACCACTCCCATGCCTCCCTCCTGCTGGCAGTCCTCAGCGTTCCGATTCACACAGCCAAAGAAAACATCACCACTGGCAGGGGGAGCACACTGAGCCTCCCAGCGCTGCAAGTGCCCGCTGCGGCTACCGCTGGAGAGGGTGTGGTGCTTTTAGGCTCTTCTGGTTCTCACAGGGGCAGATACACAAATATGTCTAAGGTTGTGTCGGTGGGGCTGGCACTGTGGTGTGGCGGTAAAGCCACCGCCTGCTGCACTGGCATCCCATATGGTCACCAGTTTGAGTCCCAGCTTCTCCACTTCTGATCCAGCTCCCTGCTAATGCGCTTGGGAAAGCAGCGGAGGATGGCCAAGTCCTTGGGCCCCTGCACTCACGTGGGAGACCTGGGAGAAGCTCCTGGCTCCTGTCTTTGGATTAGCCCAGCTCCAGCCACTGAGGCCACTTGGGGCATGAACCAGCTAATGGAAGATCTATCTTTCCCTCCCTCTCTGTAACTCTGTTTTTCAAATAAATAAATAAATCTTTAAAAAAAAAAATGCTTGCTCTCTCTCTCTCTCTCTCTCTACACCTCCCACTCTCTAAAATGAACGCTTAAAAAGAATTAAAAATACTCCTTAAACCCAACTAATTAAAATATTGGGAGGAAATTCTATTCTATTTCATAAAAGGGTTTAGGAGGAAGCTTTTTTCCAAGTCATCTACTGCAGAAAATCTTTACGCCTTAACTCAGAGCTCAACAAGAACCACATTTTCTTTGTTGACTGAGAATTGTGTAGTGCTTCATGAGGATCAACTACGACGGAACAGCCTTTAAGACTCAGAAAATGAAGCAACAAAGCTGAATCTAAAAATGATACCTGACTACACCCGCAGGTAGAGAAAAAAAATCACTTTAAGAGTTCAATAGTGACTTGATTTACCTCTTTCCTAAATGTGAGACCGCCAAAATCAATCTGATTACCTGGTTTTAATTTGCTGCATTCCAGTTAAACAAGGCTTTCCTATTTAGTATTTTCCTGCTTTATCATTGCAGGGCATAAATACACTTACTCCACTCCTTTCCTATACACCTGCTGTATTAGTAAAGCCAAGCTCCTAACTTTTAAATATACTTTAGCTGTGAATTATATTTAATATTTTGTAACATTCAAAATGCATGCAAATAAAAGGTGTTTTTTTTTTTCTACACAGAAGGGAGCTGGCATTGTGGCAGAACGGATTATGTCACCACCTGTGACGCTAGCATTCCATATGGGTGCCAGTTCAGGTCCTGTCTGCTTTCCTGCTAATCCAGCCCCCTGCTGATGGCCTGGGAAAGCAGTAGAAGATGGCCCAACTGCTTGGATCCCTGCCACCCACGTGGGAGACCCGGAAGAAGCTCCTGGCTCCTGCTTTCAGCCTGGCCCAGCCCCAGTTGTTGCGGCCATCTGGGGAGTGAACCAGCAGATGAAAGATCTCCCTTTCTCTCTGTAACTCTTTTAAAAATAAATATTTTTCAAAAAGAAAAATTTACACAGAAGGGTATCAATTTCTCAGCAGAAATATTCACAGCTGCAGCCACGGTCGGCCGTGGTCGTGGCACGGTGAGTTGAGCTGTTTCTTGCAACACCCACATCCGATAACAGAGTGCTGATTCGAGTCCTGGCTGCTCCACTTCCAATCAGCTCCCTGCTGTTGCACTTGGGAAAGCAGCCAATGATGGCCCAAGTGCTGATCATAGTTGAGTACACAGTAATATCTGATTATATCTAAGTATGCAAAATACAATTACTGGGAAATTTTAATTGCTGCCTGGTCCTTGAATGAATCAGTGAGTGGGACTCAACCACAGGCGGGCTGGGGCCAGGTGTTTGTTGAGACGCTCAGATTGAGTTCCCGGCTCCTGGCTTTGACCTGGCCCAGCCCTGGCTGTTTCGGACCCACGGGAAGTGAACCAGCAGATGGGACATGTCTCTCGGGCTGTCCTCTGTCTCTCTGCCTTTCAAATATGATGAAAATAAAAACTTTCTTAAACTAAAATAAATAAATGCCTCTGGGCAATTGTGCAACAGAGCTGAGAACCACAGCTAGAAGGCAACAGAGATAAAATTGCTTTTCTTTTTTAATAAAAGCTTTTCTCCCACTTTTTCCCCTTGGTATTCTTTAGGTAACATGCTCCTACAGTCTCGAAGATAACTCAGTAAGATATTTTAAAATTCAGGCAAGCTTTAAAATGCAGTTGTGTTACTTCAACGCTCTTAATAGGAAATGCAAGGACAGAGAACTTCTGACACGCCCCAGTTATTATCAGTAAATTCTAAAGCAGTTCTCCAGTTCACACACATCGAGGGTTCCCGCCGACGCTTCACAGGAACCTTAAAGAGTATGATCCGTTGACTCCGGGGAACTGCGGAGGTAGCCTTTTATACATTTTGCTCATTCAGTTCTGTCACTTCATTCTAAATAGTGAGGCTTGTGTATAACCTTCTGATTGTTAGCAAAAAAAAAAAAAAAAAAAAACGGTATACATGCACTGCCCAGCAGAAAGCCAGTTTCTCAAAGCCTATCCTAAGTAAGTCCTAAATATTTGGTCAAAACGAAGAAAGTGACGCCAGCCCACAGCCCCTGTGGCTGTTGTCCCTAACTTCCTGGTGCTACAATGAGACAGTAAACCGTGGCTAATCAGACAGCGTGTGGCACCAGACCCGCGCAGGCGGGCAGTCCTTTCGCTCCAGTGTTTCCTCTTCAGGTGTCAAAGTAGCAACAGGGGGTTCTAGAGCACAAACCCATTTCTGTGGGGCCTGAGGGTGCACAGCCTGCAATGTTTAAACTTAAAACAGACGAGAACTCCGCGGGTCCTGCTTCTTAAATCTGCTTCCCCAAAAGCAAACCCAAACGTCTAACCCCGCGGCTTCGGGCTGTCGGGGTTTTGCTGGTAGTTTTTTTTTGTTTTTTTGGTTTTTTTTTCCACCTTTCACAAAACACTCCACTACTTCCGGCTCAAATGCGAGGACGCCTTTGCTAACACATTCTTCAAACACTGTTCCTTTGCTTTCTGCCTTTAGATTCTGCCACCGAAACTTCTGGTTGATTCCGACAGTGCACACGCTGCACAGAACGAAGCCCGGCCACATGACAGCCGGAACTGTGTACGTGCACCCTGCCGGGGCCGGCGTTAAAGCCTCCGCCAGGACTGTTCTCCGACTTCGGGAACGCAGACAGCAGCGCGCGGGACCAGGACGCGCGGGACCAACTCTACTCAAAGGCAACTTGGGCCGGTCCTTTCGTCTCCTGCAGGGAGCTGAGCGCGGGCTCAACACCAACTTTCCTGCTACTTGTCAACGCTTCAAGGTCACGAGCAGGGGGTGGAGACCACCAAGCGGCCCTGCGTCGCGGCCTTGGAGACCGCATCCACCTCCCCGCTCCGGCCCGGCCCGTTACCGCCGCCGCAGCCGCGGCCCCAGGGCGCGCCCGGCGCCAGGCGGGGACCCGGCGGCGGCCCAGGGCGGGGCTCCGCGGCGCCGACCACTGCGGACTCCACGCCCGGGACCCCTGGCCCGCGCCCCGAGGGCGACCGCTCCTCCCCGCGCCCGCCGGGCCGAGCCCCGCCGGCGGCCCCCGGCCCCCAACTCCTGGCGAGGGGCGCGCGGTGCCCTCGGAGCCTCGGCGAGCACGGCGGCGGGGGCGGCCAGCGAGCGAGTCCCGGGGCACTTGGACGCCTCACCTGCTCCTCTCGAGGCAGCCGCTACCGCTCGCTGAGGGGACAACATGGAGCCACCGCTTTCAGCACAAGCAGCAGGGGCGCAGACGAGAGGGGCGGGCTGGGGCGGGAACGAGCCAAGCCCTGGAGGCGGGAAACGGGCGGGGCCTGGGCTCTAGACGCGGCTAAGGCGAGGGAGGGACGCGCGAGCCGAGCACAGGGCGAGCCTGCGAGGCCCGACGGCAGCCCGAGGCGTGGCGAGCGCTGGGCTGACCCGGGCGGGAAAGCGCACGCGGCCGAGCCCTGTTGCCGCCCAGCGCGTGTGCGCGTGCGCGAGCGCGCGCCGCCGGTTACCTGTGGCTGCGTACTGGGTTCTGCGGCCTGTTGGGAATGGTAGTCCCCCGTTCTCGGGGTCCCGACCTGCGGTCCCCTTTGGGCTCATGCTTCTCGGGCGAGGAGGAGGCGGAGCAGAGGGGCGGGGTTTGGAGTGCTCCGATGACTGGACTACAACTCCCAGCAGGCCATGCGATGGAGGGAAGGCCCCGCCCGGCGCCTAGCGCAGAGACCAGGCCCCGGGCGGAGGCCTTGGGGGTCCCTGGCCTCGGAGTCTGGCTGGCCGGGTATGAGATGGATTCGGTGTTTAACGCCGGCAGAGGCCGCCCGTGGGCGGCAGAAGGGAGGCCTCGGCCCTGGGTGACGTTGCACGTTACTGGGTTTTTGATGATTTTGACATCACAAACAAAGGTGACTTCATTGCCACCATCAGCATCGTCACCACGCCGTCGTCCCGTCCCTAGCCGAGCGTCTCCGAGAGCAAACGGAGGACCTCCGGAGAGACCCCTTCCGCCGGCTTTGTCCCGTCTGAGCCAGGGCCGTCTTCTGTACTCCTCGTGCTTGGAGGAGCTTGCTTGAAGCTGCTTTTTTAAGCACACTTTTACTTAAACTGTACGGCGGATCGGTACGGGACAAGGGAAACGTTCTTAATTCTCACTGCCCATTTGACTGGGGAAAATGTCATTTCCCACAACGGAAGAATACTGCGTTTTGGATTTGTTGGGCTGAGAATGGCTGTCCTGTGGGTGAGTAGCTCCTGCAGCCACGGGAAGGCAGGGCACCCAGTCTGCGCCCACCACTGCCTCTTGGCATCGTCATTGCATTATCCACTCAACGGTTCTTCCACTTCCTTCCTTCTGCTTCTGCCTTGGCCATGCTGACCTACCCAGAACCCCCATCCAGCTACTTCTAGGCCTTGCCAAGCCCTTGGGCCGGTTTTCACTTCCCAGCTGGCAAGACTTAGAAGGGCAGGGGTAAGGAAAATCCCGTGTGATCCTAGCTCAAGAGATCTTGTGCGAGTTCTCCTCCCCTGACCCTTAGGACTCTCCTTCAACTCTCAAGATTGAATACTCTCTTGCAGGCTTTAAAGTTAAGTCTGGAGCTAAACCAGCCTGGGCCAGAGAGAAACTAGAAGTGAGGGTGAGGGCAAGCAGCCCCTGGGGTTGCACACTGAGTATGCAGAAGGCAGGACCTGCAGGATGTGAGGCGAGTCCAGGGCACGCTGCAGCATACTCACAGGGAGACAGGAGGAACCGAAGGCCAAGGGCTTGTCACAATGACGGCACAACGTGCAGAATGTAAAACTGCACACTCATCCCAGCCTTCCCCCTCCCTTGCCTGCATCGCTGTTCTCCAGAATTCTCCCTAGCTCCTGACTTACGCTGTCCTGTGTCTTGTTTGTGTCTCCCTGCGAGCATGTAAGTTCCTAACAGGTGAGAATTTTTGTCAGCTTTGTTCACTGCTATGTCCCCAGTGCCTCAAACCCTGCTGGCAGACAGTAGGGACGCAGATAGGTATTGGATTGGTGAGTGAAGAAGGTATCTGTTACACTCAACACTGCTCACTCATCTTCTAGTTTTTGTTTTTGTTTTAAAGAGAGACCAAGATCTCCCATCAAACTGGTTTACTCCCCAAACGCCCAAACATCCAGGGTTGGGCTAGACCAAAATCAGGACCCAGGAACTCAACCCAGGTCTCCCCCATGGGTGGCAGGGTCCCAGCCACTTGAGCCATCACCACCTTCTTCCCAAGGATCGCTTTAACAGGAAGCTGGAATCAGAAGAATCGTAGGGGACATTGGCATCCCAAGTGGCACTAGACCACTGCCCAGAACACCTGCCCCTACTTTCTGGTTCTTTTAATATTGAGTGTCAAACGTTTGCTGCAGAACAGTGTTCCCAGTAAGTAACCACTGAAATCCATCCTCTCAGGAGTAGAAGAGCAGGTACTTACATTGCATCAGTCTCCATACGGTAGTGTCAAGGTCGATGTGGGCACATCAGCCCTCCCCATACCTTGTTGATGCTTGGCATTGTAAACAACACAGTGCAAATTATAGGTGGATTTTAGGATCAGTCACAGTGTCACCGTGTGAATGAGAAATCTTTTGTTGTTCCTTCCTTCCTGGATAGCCAGGGCCATCAAAACATTCAAAATGCTAAATATTGATCATTATTGCAGCCTGCCCTCAGCCGTCTTATTCTGAATTGAGTCAGAGGTCGAGCCAGCCTTTGGCTCTTCAGAAGTGGGTGACACGCAGGCGTATGTGAGGAGTTGAGACCACTGGCTTTGACGTCCAACTGACCGGGCCTGGCTTTGAATCTTGGCCCTGAGGCTCACTGGCTGTGCAACTTTGGGGGACTTGTTTGATCCCTCTGAACCCATTTCATCGGCAAAATAAATTGCAACACCCACAGTGTTTGTAGCCTAAATGAGAGGTAAGTGTTCAGCCGTGCTGACTGGGACACAGTTAGTGCTCAAAAATTGGTGATTATTGTTTCCATTCCAGAAAAGACAAAGTCATAAATACTCCAGAGACTCAGGTATTCTATGAGGCACCAAAATTGCAAGATTGTTTCCCGCAGTGACATCCACTGTGACTCAGGTCCCAGAGCTTTCCAAAAATAGGCCGCTTGTTATGGGCCAGACACTCTGCAAGGCAACAATGCTGCAGAAAACACAAAAACACATTCCTGTCCTTCAGAGATTCACGGCCTAGTGGGGTAAACAGCCAAGTAAATAGCCCCCCACCCCCACCCCGTGACGGTACCGGAACACAGCTCAGCCTTCGGGCCTCCTACGTGCAGGATCGGTGTTCAGGCAGTGGAAAGGGGACAGGCTGAAGCACTGCATCCTTAGGCACCACTTAGTTATCTGTATCTTATTTCTCTTGCGTGTGAAACAGGGTAATGAGGGGGTGGGCCTTTGGTACAGCTGTGTTTTTATTTTTAAAGATTTATTTTTATTTGAAAGGCAGAGTTACAGAGAGGCAGAGGCAAAAAGAGAGAGAGAAAGAGAGGTCTTCCATTTGCTGGTTCACTCCCCAAATGGCCACAATGGCTGGAACTGAGCTGATCGGAAGCCAGAAGCCAGGAGCTTCTTCCAGGTCCCCCACGCAGGTGCAGGGGCCCAAGGACTTGGGCCATCTTCTACTGCTTTCCCAGGCCATAGCAGAGAGCTGGATTGGAAGAGAGGCAGCCAGGACTCAAACTGGCACCTATATGGGATGCCAGCACTGCAGGCAGCAGCTTTACCCGCTACGCGACAGCGCCAACCCAGTACAGCTGTTGAGATGCTACTTGGGACTCCCTCGTCCCATATCAAAGTGCTTGAGTACAAGTCCTGGCTGCACCTCCAGTCAGCTTCCTGCTGATGCTCACCCTGAGAGGCACCAGGTGATGGCTCAGATGCTGGGGGGAACTGGATGGCGTTCCCACCGTGGGTCCTCAGGGAGTGAACCAGTGGAGGCGAGATGTGTGTGTGTGTGTGTGTGTGCCCATGCCTTTCAAATACATTTTTTTCAAATACTTTTTTAAAAAATAGTTGGTATCCTCATTTATAAAAACATAACAGCACTTCATAGATGTTAGCAAGTTAGAAATGTGACGTGGTGATGTAGTCAGGTCAAGATGGAAGACCTGGTCAGCTGCTTCATTATCAGTATTCCAGCCAACAGCACAGCCGTTAAAGGCTTCAAAAATACAATAGAAAAGGTCAGTAAAAGGAACAGAAGCTACGTGCACAACAATGCATGTAGCATGCTATTGTGTTAAAAAAGGATGGAAGGGAATATAGATTTGCTACATTCACCTTGGGTTGCATTTGCCACAAAAAGGTCCTGACGTGTGTGTGTGTGTGTGTGTGTGTGTGTAGGGGCAGAACAGGCTGACAACAAAAGAGAACTTCATCATATAGCCATACGGTGCATAACGACACTGCAGACAACAGACCACGTCTGAGAAGGTGGTCCCATCAGATTATAGTGGGGCTGAAAAACGCCTGTTAAGAGACATGGAAGGGTGATGCAGTATTTGCATGTTGGTGGTGATGCTGGTGAGAGCAAGCCTACTGCACTGCCAAGTGCATGCAGGCATGGACAGTACGTAGCACTGGCTAATTAACGGCTACCTTACTGGTTTTTGTGTCTACTATTTATTGTAACTTGACTGATTCTGCTTATAAAAATGTTTACTGTAAAGTAGTATGCCAAGTTATGTTAGCAGTAGCCTCAAACATCTCACTTTTTTAAAATTATTGTTATTTATTTATTTGAAAGACAGAGTTACAGAGACAGAGAGGGATCTTCATCTACTCTTTCACTCCCCAAATGGCCACAACAGCTGGTACTGGGCCAGACCAAATCCAGGAGTCTTAACTCCATCCAGGTCTCCTATGTGGGTGGCAGGGACCCAAGCACTTGGACTACATTAGCAGGGGGCTGGCTGGGAAGTGGAGCAGCTGGGATTCAAACCAGTGCTCATATGGGACACTAGGGTTGCAGGCAGCTACTTAACCCACTGTGGGCCCCTGCTGTGTCTCTTGATGGCATCAAAAGGCCACATGGGGTAACTGACCTACACTAGCTAGGTTTTCCTAAGTACATGCTATGAAGTTCACATGTGACAGAATCACCTAAGGATGCATTTCCCAGAACACATCCCCACTGTGAAGTGGCACATGACAGTATATATTCTTTTGCAAATATACAAGGGTTTTACCCAGCACTGTGGCAGCTATGGGTAAAAGCTACCAGTTTCAATGACGGCATCCCCTATGGGTGCCAGTTCAAGTCCTGGCTGCTCCATTTCCAATCCAGCTTCCTGCTAATGCTCCTGAAGAAGCAGTGGAAAATGGTCCATGTGCTTGGGCCCCTGCACCCACGGAGGAAGCTTCTGGCTCCTGGCTTCAGCCTGGCCCAGCTCTGGCCATTGCAGCAATTTGGGGAGTGAACCAGCAGATAGAAGATCTCTCTCTCTCTCTCTCTCTCTCTGTAACTCTGCCTTTCAAATAAATAAATGGGCCTTTTAAAAAAGCTCATGGGAAATGTAATTAAAACATAAGTTTACACATAAAGAATGAAACTCACATTTGCAACAACATGGATGCAATTAGCGATCCTTATGAAATAAACCAGCCCCAAAAAGACAAATATCTTGTTTTCTCTTATTTGTGTTAGTTAATATATATAATTACAGTTATAAATATTGCTTAACTGAATCAGACCATGTAAATGACAATATACTCTCTTAAGATTGACTTAAATAATATTAGAGGCAGAGGGAAAGGGAGAGAGAGTCTTTCATCTGCTGGTTCA